TTGTTCATTTTCAGAAACACTAGTCTGAATCATTTTCAGAAGTTAATTACACACACACACACACACGACTGAATGCATGTTAATTTGTTGAATGATGATTTGAGTAAACTAAATTAATGAAGTCCGAAATTTCAGAGAAGGCTTTATATCTATTGTCATTATGGACTGGAGGAGACCGGTTGAGATTGTTCAAAGCTGATTTGTTAGAAGAAGGGAGCTTTGATGAGGCTGTCAAGGGCTGCAATGGTGTTTTTCATGTGGCAGCTTCGATGGAATTTGATGTCAATACGAATGAGGATATTGGTAATATTGCTGCCTTATCAGTTGTTTCAAAGCATGTCATACTCCTAAACAGTTTAGCAATCTAACAGAGTAGTTTTATTTTTTTTTCCTGATTTTCAAGATACGTATGTTAGATCAAATATCATTGATCCTGCAATCAAAGGCACTGAAAACCTCCTCAAAGCTTGCTTGAAATCCAAGTCTGTGAAAAGGGTTGTTTTCACATCCTCAATCAGTACTATCACTGCCAAAGACAGCATTGGAAATTGGAGACCTGTTGTTGATGAATCTTGCCTGACTACAATTGATCATGTCTTGAATGCAAAAGCAAGTGGATGGGTAAAGCTTCTGCTTCCTCTTCTGTACCATGGAATTGATCCAGGAAATAGCTCTTCCTGCAATTTAAGTATATATGTAAATACCTGGTTTTAACAGGTTTATGCCCTCTCCAAGCTTTTGACTGAGGAAGCAGCATTCAAGTTTGCAAATGAGAATGGTATTGATCTTGTTTCTGTGATAACGACAACTGTTGCTGGTCCTTTTCTCACAACCACTATTCCCTCAAGCATTCATGTGCTCTTGTCACCAGTCACAGGTTATCAGGGAAAAATTCCAACTCATTTTCTTACTAAAAATGCAGTGTGTTATATGAGACTTGAGAATAAATATCATATACTTGAAGTCCAATTAATTGATGTATCCTTGAAACTAGATTGTTTTAAATTCTACATTTCAGCTTATTTATACAGGTGATCCAAAGTACTTCCAAATACTGTCTGCTGTGAATGCTAGAATGGGGTCAGTTGCTTTAGTCCACATAGAAGATGTATGCAGTGCCCACATTTTTCTAATGGAGCAAGCCAGAGCAGAAGGTAGATTCATATGCTGTGTCTGCAGTTCTCCAATGTCTGAACTGATTAATCGCTTCGCTCAAGAGTATCCCAGCTCAAATATTCAGGGGTAATATTTTATGAAGATATATATTAGGCTGTCAGTCATCAATTTTAGAGCACACAATTCGGTAATCCAATATGTTCCCTTTTCTTTATGTATGTTACAGGTTGGAGGCAGAGAAAAAGGTTACAAAACGTCCTGAGATTTCTTCGAAGAAGTTAAGAGATTTAGGCTTCACTTACAAGCATGGAATAGAAGATATAATTCATCAAACAATTACCACCTGTGTAGATTATGGATTCCTACCCCCTACCAGAGGGTAGTGGCTTACTTCTGAAGAAAACTTCACCTGACCTGAAATCCTTACATTGCTAGGCATATGTTGTGTCCCCAGCATCCTTGTAATCAAAATCCATAGCAGTTATTAATGCTTCGAGATAGAATGCCAAACTTGCCCTATGTTCTTATGCCAAACTTAGGCTAACTTATTGTCAAAATGCCAGTTAATTGAAGATGCTAAGAGATCATATGCAGCCTTATGAAAGCCAAGCAGCCTAAAACACTACTTGCTGACTTGGGCCACAAGAAATAAAGGCAGATTTGTTTATTTCTTGGAATTAATAAAGGCATAATTATTGTAGCTTATTGTCAACTACAATGTATGGCAAGAACTATGAGAATAATTTCAGCAATCATTCAAATTTTGTGGCAGAATGTACATAATCAGGATCTTTAATGCAAAAGCTACTTCTTCAACTAACTGAACAAGCTTTTCCTTTATGGTTCAGGGTTGGCCATACAGATTTTTCTATCACACCTTGCTTGATTTAGGACCATTTTCAGTTATACTCTAGGTCACTTCAATTTTCTCAACCAAACCTATTTAGATGACAAAAACAGCTTCAATGCATTACACAAGTATCCAAATGATATTGTGAACTAAAAACTAAGATGGTCTGCAGGCAAACTCTAAAACTGCGCTTTTTTTTTTTAAATTCAGTTAAACCTGGAACAGGTCATGCCATTGCAGTCAACAAAAATGGTGATTCCTGGGAGCAGAAGCTAAGAGAGTAAGTAGTAAAGAAACCTGGTTCTGTGGTATTGTTTCGTCTTTTAGTCATTAGTAGTCCTGGATGTTTCTGCAGAAAATACTTAACAGGACAAAATGTCAATGACTAACAAATTTTGTAACCTATCAAAAGATTTACTTCAACTGAGAATGGCTCAGCAAGGTAGCAGTCCACAAGAGTGAAGAGTCTAAATCAGTTGGGGATTGGCCTTCATTCCAAATACACTAAATAAATATTTGCATCTGTTTTCATCAGCTTCCAAACTACCCCCAATTCAACATTTAAGACTAAAAATTGAATGGAATTCACTTTCTAGAATTTATGTTTTTCAGACAAGTGTAATGAGGGTTAGCAAACATTTATGAGATGCATGTGCCAGAGAGCTTTTAAAAGCTGTCCTGATGTTGCAGCAACGAAATAACATGATCTCAAGCTTAGCACAGTTTGTTTATGTCGCTATCTTCGATAAATGACATCCAGCAAATCTAAGATTGAAATCTTAGCATCTGTAATTCTTTTCCCTATCTTCCTACTACATAATCAAAATCCATACTCAGGTAGAAGCTGTAAAGATCCTCTGACTGAGGTTATCTTTATTGTTAGTCACTCCATATTCACCAAGAGGGTGCATATGCTACAGATTAAGAGCAAACCCAACAATTAAAAACTTTTAACACAGCATTTACAGAGAAAATTAAACAAGGATGGACATAGAAAGGACAAAAATTTTCAGCCTAGACAGCAAACATATGGTAATCCTTCTTGGTTTTTGTCCTGTTGGTATGGACTAAACATTGTTTGAAATTAAACCTTACTTTCCAACCAGGACCACATGCATACTTGATTAGCTATTGGATATTAACATTAATTCTTTTTCATTGTTTTGCAAGAGTCCCATACTAGAAAACCACAAACATGCACAGAAGAGTCCCATGTTCTTAATTCACTAATTTCCATTGAGTCAGGATCTTCTGTTATCGTCTTTCGGATACAAGTTAATTGGAATCTGAACCTGATTAATGTAATTAATAAATTTGTCCTCTTACATTTTCTTGAGTGGGTTTAGAACTTTATGAAATGAAATCAACAAGACAAGAACTGGTTTTGTTCTGTTCAAACTTCAAGCTTTGACATGTTCACTAACACTTAATACCAACACCATTTGTAACTTTAAGCCCTATTAAATATATCAGCAATGAATTCAGAACTCAGCTCAATTGGTTCATGTAGCTGCCCTCAAGTGGCAGTATCTAGTAGGACGGGGTTTAAATCTTCACACCTCCAACCCCTTCCCCCATCGTAGGATACGACTTCCTTTGTATCAAAAAATATATATCAGCAACCATGCAAATGAGTTTGGATGCTTGTCAAAATTCAAATTAGTAGCAACATTTCCATTCCTTCAGTGATCTGATCTATAGTTCAATAAAATAATAATCAATTTTAGTTTCTTAGAACCCAAAACTAATCAAAAAAGACTTCTAGTTGTTTCCTTTGTCCATGTTGTGCCATGAATTTATCAGATAATCATGCACAAGATAAGCCATGAAATTAAAAATCCCATTGAGTACAGAACTTTATCTATCTTCAAATCCTGGATTTGTCTCTATATATGTGCATATCTTGATCATCGTAACCAAAAGGATGCAATGAAACTTGGAAAATGCAATCATGGATGATGGAATATAAAAATTCCAGGAATTTTTTAATTATAATACAATTCTTAGACAGGGAAGAAGCAATATAGTTGCATGAAAAATTCAAATGTGAGATGCACAAACCAGATGAAAGAAGAATGAGAATTCTTTCAAAAAGAAGATAGAAAATCTCTACCAAGAAAAGGAAAAAGATTCACATAACTTCACAAGTCACAACTTCTAATTTTTTTCCTCAAGCTTTGCAGATTACCACAAAACAAGGAAGGAGAGCTCTAGGATTGAACAGATAAAGCTCCTCAATATTTGAGTACAGACCAACTTTCCCAGCCAATGAATCGAACCCAGTTTGTCCTGCCATTTCTTGTTTATTCTCCAAAGGTCTATGAACTCTCCCAGCTATTACTCTGCAAACTATCAAAGCTTTCCTTATGGATGGATCATCTTCAAGAATTTGAATAGATTCAAAAGCCCTGCCACTTGTGGACGTTGTAAAAACACCAATTCCTTCCTTGAGCTCCTTCTTGGCAGAGAATCCATTTCTAATAATCCAACAAACACAACATTTTTCAGATATACAAAGACTTGATGAACCATTTAGACCAAGAGAACATGCCACTGTTGTGCCATAGAACCTCAATAGCTCATTTCCATCAGCAATGCATCGAGGATGTTTCTTGGGGAGTTTGCTTGCTTTAATCTTTACCATTTCCCTATATTCTTCGAATCGAGCAAGAGTTTTTTGCATGTTGTGAACTTTTAAAACTCTTTCGATCCGGCCACAATGGTTCTCAGACTTTAACCAACTTGTCCGGCATATAATTTCAACAATCTTTCTAGATGAGTCACCTTCCACTAGTTCAGTAACTGACAAAGGACAGTGTTTAGCTGATTAAAATTTCCAGGAAATGAAAACTGCTTGCAAATAATTGACTCAAATTATGAAAAATCAAATCTAAAACAAACCCACAGTCAATCAACTTGAATTATTTGGTTGAACAAAGTATGGCATTATCCAATCAAATTATATTATCACAAATTTTAGGATGTTCATTTGTAAAGGTAATCACAAATTTTGTTGTCAGAGGAAAGTGGGCGATTTGGTACCAAGAAGATAAGAAAACAATGGAGGAAAAGCAAAGTTAAAAGTTGAAGATAAAAGGAAAGACCGCATTTTTAAAGAAATTGAAGAACAACGAAAGAAAAAAAAAAAGACCATGTAATCAAATTTTGTCAAAGAACTTACCGGCATGCTTAGATAGATGGTGTGTTTCAGCAGCTTCCCATTTGCTAAATTGCTCTCCACATTTGTGGCAAGTCAGTTTAGAACATCCATTAGAGTCTGTCTCAAGAGAAACCCTATTGTTTGAATGAAAATTTCCACCACCAAATCCAGAACCTTCTGTTTCTGATACAAGAAAATGTGATTTTCTTGGGGGAGTAGTTGAAGAGTTCCTTAAAGAAGAATTAAAATAATGCATTGTTGGGTGCCCTCCAGGTCCTGGTGTTCCAGGGCGTAAAGTACCAACAAAAGTTGAGCCGCCGCCACCACCACCATCATTAACTCCTTTATTGCCACCATTACTGACACCAGCTTGTAACCCTCCAAAACCAGTGATTTTCAGCTCACACCTTGAGTTACTAAGGATGACTTCATGAGTTATTGGGTTAAGAAACTCACTGCTCCCAATGGATCTTGGACTGCAACTTGGTGGCTTCTCTAAATGTCTCTTACTTCCATGAATGACATCCTTGAGATTTGCTATAGACCTTGAACACCCTGACCTGCTTGCTTTCCTAGTCAATATTGTACTCAATTGCTTCCTGGTTTTGGGGTCATGAACACCTGATGGCTCTGATTTACAGTGTAAAGATCTCTTCAAAGAAAACCAAACTGTTGGCATATTTTCTTCTTCCCTTTTACTCTTCTTTATTCTCTTTCTTCTTCAAAAAGAAAAAATTCAACCTTTACTTTTGCCATGAAAGCCTTTGCTTTCTAGTTTTGTATTTTACTACATTTGCCTGAAATTTCCTTTCCATTGTTGGAACCAAATAAACTCAACAGCTAAAACATGTCCTGTACAAGAAATAACATCAGAAGAACTGACGCAATGAACACCCAGATTGAGAGAAAAAAAAAAAAAAAAAGCAATCAATCTATAGTGTTTCATGTGCCATGTTGTTGTATGGCAGTTCATACATGAGAGCTCACCTCTGCTCACCAACCATCATCTCATGAAAATATGTTTTTCAGCTTTTTCTGATGAAATGGTTGTCCATTTAAGAACAAAAATAAAGACAAAATCATTTAATCCCATTATAATTTATAAAGCAGTAAAAGCAAAATAGATTAATATAAAAAAAAAAAAAACATTAGACATACAAATACAAGAATAGAAATTGATCAAGACATGAAGATTCTAATGCCATTGATAACATGACAAGAAACCCTATACTTTGAAAATAAAAATAAAAACAAAGCCAAAAAAAAAAAAAAATCTCGTCTGGTCTGGACCTGGTAATGGTGAAAATTGAAATCTCTAACTCCTATATGTTGAAATGGAAAAATTAAAGAAATGCAAAAAAGTTGCTTTCCTATTTGGTGCAAATACACAGGTCCAAGACCATAGATATTGATAAATTGAACTTTTTATTTATTTGCTAAATAGATAGATAGAGGAAAAAATCATAAATATATTTAATATTAAAATATTTAAAAAAAATCCGCATTCGACTAAGATTTTTTGTTATCAGTTAGAGAAAGCAGAAATTCCATTCTTATTAAAATAAGAATTGAAAGTGGCACAAAATGTATGATCTATAAATATTAATATGTATGCTCCATAAAATTTTTTTTTATTTTTTCTTAATTATCACTCTTCTGTTTTGATGAGAAGGAAAATAATAATATAATCAAAATATTACAAAATTAACTGAAAATTTTTACTTTTAATCTTTTAATCTTTCTCAAATATTTTTAAAATATTCAAATTTCAAGTTAGAGGCAATCAAAATTATATTAAGCAGTTATACTTTTTGAAATTTTCAATTGTTCCCAAGTCATTTAATTGCAACAGGATTGGAATTCCACTACACATCTCGTGAGTCATTTGAAAAAAATAAATAGATAAAATAAAATTTATGGTATAAAAAATAATCCGGTAAAAATGATGAAATTTCATCAATAAATAATTGGTTCAATTGATTAAGATACGTCTTTCTTGATAAATAGATCTTGAATTTAAATTTTATCAGTGATCATTTGTTGAGGTTATTTCAAATGCACGACTGTAATCATTTATTTTAAATTATTAAATACGATATATTTTACTTTAATATGATAATTTAACAATCTATTTACTTTGAAATACTAGAAAAAAAAGAAGAAGAAAATGATGAAATTTCATCATAAAAATGAATAGTTTATAATAATCAATAGTTGTCAAAATATACCAAAGTAGACAGTGGACCACACGATATGATTCCATTTTTATGGAATTTTGTACCTTTGCAAAACATAAAGTTTTTACATTAATTTCTAATCCAACCAAAAAAAAATTATTTAAAATTGTCGGTACTAAAATTTGGTTATTAAAATTAAAATTTAATGTTTTAATAACAAATTTTATACCTAATGACTAAAAAAATTGTTATTTTATAAATTATAAAAAATTTTAAAGTCACAAAATCCACCACTGTCAAAATCATGGTCATGACTTACAAATTATCAGCTCTTCTTTAGGGTTTCATTTCTTAACTCTTAAAAAAATAAACTAATTTTTTTAATAATTTTTTATTTAATTTTCTCTTAAAACTATTTTAAAACTGCACTCTCTCGCATTACTTGATTCATTTAAGATTTTATTTTCAAAATATTTTTCACATAATCGGATCTTTGATTGATAAGAAAAAAAAAAAAAAACCCTTTTCTTTTAACAATTAAACTTACTTTCATGGATAAAATGTACAGTATTTGTTATTTTTGAGAAAGATGTCTCTAATATTAGATTTGGCTACTTGAAAAGTAAGTCTTATTCAATTTATATTCTTATGGTAAAATCAATTACCTTTTTTTTACTAAGTCTTGTAAGTTACAAGTATTGGAAGTTACCAACAATTATTGATTTGAGTGGTTAAAGAGTTCAATTTCTCTTATATAAAATATTAATTTTGAATTTTATGAATAAAAAAATAAATGTTAAGAGATTTTATTTTTTTTATGGAATATGATTTAATTTAGTTTTAAATTAATTCAAATTCAAAACGATTACTAAATATCAAAATCTTAACAAAAAAAAAAAGAAATTGAAATGTAATTGAAGAGAATATTTCCCAAATAGTTCGAGAATAACTGATCACCTCAAAATGAATCAAACATGGCTTTAATAATTACAGTTGATGGTTTTACAATGAACATATTTTTTTTGTACTTTGCACTCATACCATGGGCCATGTCTCAAGAACACCCTTTTTGCCCTTAAATTATGGGTTAAAGTGCAACAATAATGAAACCCCAAACTCCAAAATCAAGCAAGTCATAATTAGCTTTGAACAGTAAGACACAAATCTCTATGCACCTTTTAAAAAAAATTTGTGACAAAGACGTAGTAAAAAGTTTTTTTTTTTTTTTTTTTGCTTTGTCACCTTGCTGCTGAAAGGGGAGCCAGTTAAGGTGTGGGTATGTGTTTATGAACTCATTGACTGCTATCACATGCCGCCATAAAGGTTCAATTTTTGCCAGTGCAAATTGCATTTATTTTAAAAATATTAATAAAGAAAAAAAAAGAGTAATCATAAGCCCGATTTTTGTGTCAACGAAAGCACCTTTTTAATATAAATAGATTAAAAAAAAAAAAAGGCTATCTTCATCTTTTTCTATGTGGGATTCTAACTTTTTTTCTCACTCAATTATGTAAAGATTTTCGTTGTATTATTGTTTATAATAATATTTTTTAAAAGTTATGGGAGATTTTTAATATATATTAAATGTATGTTTTAATATATTAATATTAAATTATGATTAAATTTTGTTAAAAGATATTTAATTATAATGTAATTGAATTAAAAAGAATATAAATAAAATATAAATAAATATTTATTAAATTTATTTATAAATATTAAATAAATTTATTCATGAATATAAATAAATAAAATAAATATTATTTAAAATTATTTCTTAAATTTAATAATTAAATATATTCACAAATAATTTATCAAAAGTTCTCAACGATAGCATCAATCTTTTAACTCATATAGGATGAAAACTTATATTGATTTGGATCTATCTCAACTTTGATATTAGTAATGGCTTACGATCATGAAAAATTAGATAATTTTTAATATCATTTGTCACGGACATATTTTTAATTTAAAATACATGTTTATTAGACGGAGAAAAACTCAAAATTTATAAGCTCAAAACTATTCACATCTCTTTCCAATACGAAATATATAATACATGGATTCGGATATAGGTAACTCTCTCACTTGACACTATCTTTGGAATTTCCATGACCAAATTAAGAATGAGAAGGCTAATGGAAACTAACCCAAATTCATGATTGGGTTTAGCCTGTTTGAGTTCAGGTTCAGACGATTTAAAACTCACCATGATAAATGTTGGAATAATTAAAATTTCCTTTTGATTTGATACGAAACTCATTGGCTTAAATGCAGCATAACCAAAACTAAAATGTTTATGCTGATAACGATCAGGATTGTAGTAGCCGTTGGATTTCAAACCCTGGTAATGGGAATGCTAGAGAATTCCAAATCATCATTTTCTACTTGTTGGAGGGATCTTGTGCTTTGTACATGGCTTGTTGAGTGTTGCATTCCATGTTTTTGCAACTGTCAACTTTGAAAAGGGAAGCAGCCGTGGACTAGAAGAAGACCCTTAAATCCTCTGTTATTACTCGAATTAGAGGGTGAATGTCGGATAAGGATATGTGTTCGATATTGTACATTGAAACTAATTGAGGAGAAAAAAAGCAAATCAGGAGAGGCAATCACTTTTGCAAAAGCTTTGAGGTACAACAAAGATTTTAATGGAAATTTTCTTGTTAAGAAATGTGAAGAGACAGTGAGGCCATTACCTTTTCTTAGTATTCCAACAACTACAATTAACTATGCTCCAAATAATAATTTGTCATTTTGCAATGTTCATAAGATATTTAAGATATGTGGACCTTACAACATGAATTTTTTCTTAATTTGAGAATATATATATATATATATTTTGTTTTAAGGAAGGGCAAAGCTCTATTACAAGGTCGAAGGAGAGAGATTTGGTTAAAAACCAAACATTTATGTTTTTTTAAAGATTAAAAATGATAATAAAAATTATTATATCTGTAATTAAAAAAAATTTATTTTGAATGAATTTTATTAAAATTAATATTTAAATTTAATAATTGATATGATAAACTTAATCGTATAATATCAAATATACGATAAAATTCAAATCTAACCTACGATATAACAAAAATTGTGATCAAAATTCAACACATTTGGACATTTTTATTTTCATGTTGTATGAGTCTAATAAAGTTGTATAAAAGTAAAAGAAAAAGAAAAATAAATGGTCAACCACCAAAATTATTTACTCGGCAAAAGGAATAAAGGTTAGGTAAAGGCTTATAGCTTTTGCTTTCGGCAATCTTTTCGAACCATATTGATCCAAAAAAAAAAACAAAACGTTGCATAACTTTGAGCTCTATGAATTGACCTCGAGACAAAACCCCACTACAAAAATATCACATTAAAGTCATAGAAACTTTATAAGATTTATAGGTTAGGAAAAGATATTGCATTGTGAGAACATAACCCAGAACTTTACAAGTCACACCCACTACCGGAATTTAATTTAATTTTTTAGATAATATATAATATTATAAATTTTAAAATTTGATTTAAATTTAAATTTAAATTTTTTAAATAGATTTGATTTGAACTAAATTTTATTGATTTAGTTTAACAAATTTTTTATATTGTTTTGATAATTTTTAATATATTTAAATCAATTTATATATAAAATAATTATTTTTAATTTATAAAAATTTAAAAAATATAAAAATTAATAAAAATAAATAATCCGATATGATTCTATTATTTTTTATTTTTTATTTTTCGATTTGAAATTTAATTTGAACCTAATAAAAATATTTAATATTTGAATTTAAACTGAACCAAATAAAAAAAATTAATCCGAATCAAATCAAATATTATAATTTTGATTTTTTTTTAATTTTTTAATTTTTTTCTTCCCAACTTTCAAATTGGACATTAAAGGATCCATATTTAAATCTATATAATTTTATATTATGATTAAAGTTCAAACTTAATATTTTTACCAAAAAGATTTATAAGCAAACATTATTTTAATTGTCTAATGCATTTAATTATATTTTTATAAAAAAGATCGTAATTTTAATAAAAAATATCGTAATTTTAAAATACGAAAAAAGATTATACGAATTAAAATTTAAAATTTAAAATTATTAATTACATAAATCAATTAAATTTTAAATTCATTTCCCCAGTGTAACCATGTAACCAAGTAGCATATATGGGTTTTGGTGGGCTTCAATAAATCTTGGGCAAGGCTGCACCAAATAGAAAAAATTTCAAGCTAGGCTCAGTCGGGTCCAAAATAAAAATTGGACTTGAGCTCAGTAATGGTTAGGTCCATCAAGCTCTTAAAATTATTTTAAAAAAAAGTTTTTTTTTTGCATTGAAATTATTATATTTCAAATAATATCTTATTATAATTTCAAATAAAATGTTATTTTTATAAGAACAAATAATTTTTATTATTTAAAGGAAATTAAAAGAAAATTGTCGGTGATTTAAAAAAGTTGACGTCAGCGTTACCTCGTCTGACACCGCAGCTTCTAACTGGCCAATCAAACCGAACAGTACAAACCAAACCGTACAAATAAAAATATTCAAAATTCCACAAGGAAATTTCCGTCATTTCATAAAATCCTAATAAAAAAAACCGGAATTTCCCTCCTTGAAATTTATAATTAACCCAAAAACCGCAAAAGCGGTGTTCGGTTCAAATCTATACCGTCCATTTCATCACCATCCAACGGTTATTCTTCTCGATCCGCGTCCTCTCTTTGCATTGGCTAATCCCTTTACGCTCTCCACTATATATACCCATAGCAAACGGCTATCCTTTCACTTATCTCCATTTGTCCTTCCCACGCTCTTTTCTTTTTTCGTTTCGGGTCGAAAATGGCGGGCCGGGGCAAGACTCTAGGATCCGGAGCATCGAAGAAGGCAACCTCGAGGAGTAGCAAGGCCGGGCTTCAGTTTCCGGTGGGTCGTATCGCTCGGTTCCTTAAGGCTGGCAAATATGCTGAACGGGTGGGAGCTGGAGCTCCGGTTTACCTCGCTGCTGTTCTTGAGTATCTTGCCGCTGAGGTAAAATAACTTTCTTTTCTAATTTTTGCGTACTTTGGTCCTTTCTATTTAAGGATTTATTGCAAAATTTTCTTATGGAAAGTGTTAATTTAGTTTGTAACCTAATATAGGGTTTCAATATTTCTTCCCTTCAAATTTGAGAAATTTTATTTTTTATTTCTATTTTATATCATGAGAGTCTATCATCACTTTTCTTTTGAAGTATACTTTGTTAGTTTGAATTTTTGGGAATTTTAAAATTTCTGTAACTTCATTTTTTGAATTCTAGATCTTTGTTCCATGTTAGGGTTTTTAATTATACCTGTATGAAATTGGGGTTCATTTTGGGATCTTTTTTTTTATAAACTTTATTATTTTTTTTTCATTTTCTTAGGGTTTAATTTCCCCCAAAAATTTTGCTACTCTTTTTCGAAGTTTAGATTTTTTGTGAAATTTCGGTATCTTAATCCCTAAATTAGAAGTAATTAGGGTTTCTATGTACGTAAACAGCACATTAAAGGTTTTCTTTTTTTGTATTCTTAGTGAAAATTGTGTGTTTATTTCAGGTTCTTGAGCTTGCTGGAAATGCAGCCAGAGACAACAAGAAAACCCGAATTGTTCCACGTCACATCCAGCTTGCAGTAAGGAACGATGAAGAGCTGAGCAAACTACTAGGAGATGTGACAATTGCCAATGGTGGTGTGATGCCGAACATCCACAACCTCCTCCTCCCCAAGAAAACTGGAACCTCCTCCAAGGCTTCCGGAGGTGATGAAGATTAGATCAGATTAGTTTCAACTCGGAAATCCAGGAAGAAACTATTCCCTCACTGTGTTGATGTGATTCTGAGATTCAACAGTCTCTGTTGTTATATTAGTTTTTGGAGTTTAGGGTTTGAAGAACTCTTTAATGTCTTATGGAATTGTAGTTTGTTGACAGTGTTTAGTTAGTTGGTAGTTTTAGGGTTTTTAGTTTCATGTGGATATAATCAATCTTCTACTTGCTTAATATAAGAGCTGTGACTCATTTTTTAACTCTTTCTTCTTGTTCATTAATGACATGAATGCAATATTTCAACTTGAATTTGTGTTGCTTTTTTTATGATTGGTTTTGTTGTTTGTTTTTATTAATGTTTGTTCTGTTTGAGTTGTTATGAGGATTCTGAATCTTTTGAAGATTTTGGAATTGTAGTATTGGTTTGAAGTTTTGACATGGGATTTTATGGCAAATGATTGGCATTGAATGATGATTTGATGTTTCTTGATTTGCTCAAAGAGATTCAGAATCTTGTTCCAGGAACATGTATGTAGCAGCAAATCTTGTTGGAATTGTCTGGTTATTAATGAATTTCATGATGCAGCAAATCTTGTTGGAATTGTCTGGTTATTAGTGAATTTCATGATGTGTCTGGGTAGGTTTGACTATGTATGTAGTCCAAGGCATGATGTTTTAAGTGAGCTGCCATCTTGGATAAATTTTACAGGGATTTTGGAAGCCAAACCTTGATTGCATAAGCTGCCATATCTAGTAATCTGAAAGGAGTCATGGTGGGCTAATACAAGGCCAAAATCCCAAAACCAATGGCATTGGCATTATGCAACCATTTAAATGGAACTAATGAATGGCAATGGCATTATTAAAAGCATGTTTACTGCAAAATCAATGAACTAGTAGTTAAAGAGTTTGTTTTTTTTATTTAAATAAAATTTTAATTTTAAATTTTGTGAATGAAAAAAATAGATGTTGAAATCGTTTATTTTTTACGAGTTCAATTTGATTTGATTTTAAATTAATTAAAATTTAATTTTTATGAATTTAATTCGATTTGATTTTAAATTGATCAAAATTTAAAGTAATTATGGTAAATTTTTTATGAGATTTAATTTGACTTAATTTTAAATTAATCAAATTTAAAATAATTATGACACATTAAAAAAAAAAAAAAAGAAACCACATAGCCAATGATCAGATATGGAGCTATAAGCACTATTAAAGGCGTGACAGCTGAATTGAAAACAAATGTTTGACAGCTATAACACAGCAGCCCCACCAAAGGTCTTTTCATTTTCTTGTATAGAAAACAATCCCCAACTCTTTTTTTTTATTACGGATTTTAATGTTGAAAATGATAATTTAATAGTCAATCTAAATTACTAGAAAATCCTTGCATTTGTCTTATGAAGTCAATACTTAACTTTGACATTTTTTAATGAAACATTTGAAAACATTACCTTGCTTGTAGAAATTAAAATATAAAACAAATACATTGCTCTCAGTCTTTTTTTTTTTTTTTGAAGGATGTTAATTTTGATTAGATTCAAAATATCTATTTTTAATTCAAAATTCAATTAAATTGATTTATATAATTATTTTTAAGAGTTAATATTTAATAAATTTTAAATTTAAATTTTAATATTTATAATTTTTTCTCCAAATTACTCCTTTGTACCAAAAAATAACAATTAATAGATATATTTTTTTACCTATAATCTTTAATTTATATAAAATGTAAAATTTTTATTGATGGAAACCAACATTTATATTTATTATAATTTTAAAATTTTTTATTATAAATATTAATAGATTTGAATAATCTAAGATATGCCATATACTAACTAACTTATCCTTGTTTGTTTAGGTTATTTAAAAAAAAATGCCATCCTTGATTTAAAAAAAAAAATTTATCCTTTCAGAAGAACTAATAATTGTGATAAATTATGAAAGGGTTTCCTCCAGGTATAATTAACCTGTCATAACAGAACCTTGATTAATTTCTTCAACAATTACCCAAAATGCCCTCCAAAAAACAGCTTCTTTTTCCATCTTCTTGAGAAAATTTACATTTCAAACCCCCAAAAATGTCAAAATAAAAATTCCAAAATCAGAAAAAAAAAAAAAAAAAAAGAGAAAAGTATACCTTGGAACAATTCTATTTTGTCGGTTCATTATAAGACCCTTGTTCATTAAAGGCAAAAATTCTCCTAGTTAACTTTTTTACATGCATTATAACAGCTAATAGTTTTTTTTTTTTTTCTTAGTGAGTTGCCATTGATTGGATCCGGTCATAATAAAAGTGCCCATCTTTGTCCTTTTCATGTGTTCATATTTTAGGGTCTTTCAATTAGTAATACAAAAAGGTTGGTAAGGTTGAAAAGAAAAGATTTGAAATTTATTGGCTTTTTCCCTCTTCTGATATCCTTTTTTAAGCTTCATTCATCATATCCTTTCTGGCTTCCTGGGTTTTTGTTTCAAAGTTTGATTTTGATCCCTTTTTGGGCTGTCCAAGGGAAGATAAATTCTGGGTTTTGTTTGGTTTTTTGAGTTCTGATTCCAGGTCTTAATCTTTCATTATGTTTTTGAGGAAAATCTGCTGTTTTCTAGCAGATTTTAAGGGTTTCTTCTGAAGGGAAAACAGAATTGAGTTCGTGCCAAATGTTATAAGGTTTGAAGGTTTGATGATCAAGTTTAGTAGGGTTTTGGGTGGTGGGGGGTTTTGGTTTTTGAGGAAATGAAAAGGAATCCTTTTTGTGCTTGTGACGATGCTGATGATACAAGGACACATGGGTGTCATAAGAAAAAATTGTTTGGGGTTTTTGGTAGTTCTGCTTTGTGTATCATTGGCTGTCAGCTTAGATTACAGGAAGGTTGGAGAAGAAGCATTTCTTAACCAATTAGTAGATCCAGCAACTGGGGAGATTGATGAGAATCTGGTAAAGGATATTACTTTGCTTGTTTGCTCTCGACTTCAATTCATTTGCTTGTATAAACTCCTTTGTTCAGAAACTATTTGCTTATGTAATTGTTTTGTGTTTTCTTTAATGTCCGTTGACTGCAATTGATTTGCTTGAACAATATTATTTTATGGATTGAAAGCAATTATAGATTTGTTTATTAGCAAATAGTTCATATTTATTGAAACCATGCTTTAGCCTTTTATTGTTGGGTAGAAATGGTTGACAGCATGTTTAATGAAACCTTGGGGAATATCTTGGAACCATACTTTAGCATTCATCTCAAGCATTTAAACTTAGCAATATGTAATGGTTTTTTATTGCTTAGAGGTATTAAGGTAGTATTAGTAATTTCCATATTGTTTGTCTATCAGGGCATATGTTTATAAGTTGTTGGAAATGGGGAAAGAGAAAACCAACATTAGAGGTGGAAATATGTGGGACTATCATGCACTAATGCATTGGACTATTTGCTGGAATTAGAGAGTTTTTCACTCTATCAGTAGGTTGCCTGTAGGGAAGGATAGTGCGTGCTAAACTTTTGAGAACTGGAAAAGGCATTAGGTGTTTGACTTTGAGTCCATGTAGTATGCGCTGAAATTAAGGTGCAATCTGTCTTGAAACGTGTTCGATAATTTTTTAAAGCTTATTATACCATTTGCCGAAGACAGTGACATTGAATATTGACAACATAATTTAGTGAAAATGTATCTTAGGTAGTGACAATCATTATTCAAAACGTCAAAAGTTGCTCCTGAGATTAACAATGAGTACCTGGTAATTTTCACTGCCAATAGGATAGGACATTAAGATGCTTTTGGTTTCTGTAGGTTTAGGAAGTAGGAAACGGGTCTTCTTTCCCTTTGCTACAACATTGTTTAAAATTATTAAATTGTTTACATGCAGGCTGAGTTGTTGTGGATAAGTTGCAGACAAGATTTGAATGATTTAAAGGAAGCTTTTGAAGATCCCAAGTTATATCTTCTGGGGGAAACATCCAGTACAACCAATGATATCACTACAAAAGGTTACTTATTGGCAAAAGAAAACATTCAGAAATTGATTAGTGTTTTCCATCCCCAGTTAAAACAAGCTCTTTCAGACTGCATAAGAAGGAATAATCTTCTTTTCCAAATATCTGGAGAAGATAGAGGCTTTCAGACTTGGTACACCAGATATTTTGAGTCATTGTTTCACTGGCGTGATGTTCCTAGAAGGAATTTAGCTACTCAGAGCCTTGCAGTAGCCCCTGCCTCGAAATTAGACCCATTGCCATCCCCAGCTCCAGCCCCTTCTCCTGCATCTGAATCTCCTGATTTCAGTCCAGATCCATTGCAAAGTGTGGCACCTTCACCCTCTCCACTTCCTATACCTTCTCACCAAGCTGCGCCTCCAATAAATGATATTCTTCGAGCCGACAGAGATTCAGCAAATAAAGGGACTGATAACAGTAAAACAATTATTGTTGCTTGTGTTGTGACTGCAGTAGCAACATCTGTTGTTGCAGCATTGTTCTTCTTTTTATGCTGCCGTAGAGATTCTGGAGCTAAGCAAAATGATGAGAGGCCCCTTCTCAGTTTAAGCTTAAGTGAATTCTCTGCTGGTATATACTTTCCCACACAATGTTGTTGACTTGTTGTCTAGAAGCTTTTGACAAAATTTTGATCAAAACAATTTTTCCAGGTTCTCCTGCATATGCTTTTGGATCTAATAAAGAAGAGAAGCTTGGTCACGAATCATTTGGTAATGAATCAAGCCTACATAAAAAGCCTTCAACTAATGGTAATGCTTATATTGAATCTAATGTTCTACAAATCTCCTCGGATGGAAAGTCATCATTTGGAGCTGTTGCTGGTGGCACCAAAGCTTCAGCTGAATCTTCTGATACGTCAGGCAATACTAATTCACTACTACCACTGCCTCCAGGAAGGGTGGGTACTTCCCCTCCTGGATTACCTCCTTTGAAGCCCCCTCCTGGCAGAGCAGATCCTCTCCCTCCTGAACCTCCTGCCCCAATTAGGGCCAGTCCTCCTCCACCACCTCCCTCTATGAAACCTACTTCTGCCAATATAGGCCTCCGACCTCCTCCACCACCTATACCTCCGGGTACCAAACCTGGTCCTCGCCCACCACCTCCTCCAAGTACTGCTCTGGCTCCTCCTAGGCCACCTCCATCAATGCCCTTAGGTCCCAAGATGCCTCGGCCACCAATTGGACCACAAAAACCAGCAAATGCTATCTCTGGTGAAGGATCTGGCTCAGGTGATGATGCCAATGCTCCTAAAGCCAAACTGAAGCCATTTTTCTGGGATAAAGTTGCAGCCAACCCTGATCATTCAATGGTCTGGAATCAGATTAAATCTGGATCATTCCAGTAAGTAACAATTCTTTTATTCTTTTTCCTTTTACTCTTTATGCCGACGGATCAGTATGGGATACTTGATACTATCTTTTCAGGTTCAATGAGGAGATGATAGAAACTCTCTTTGGCTATGCAACTGTTGACAAGAACAAAAATGATAGGAAGAAAGAGCCTTCTACACAGGATTCTGTGCCTCAGTATATTCAACTCCTTGATCACAAGAAAGCACAAAATTTAGCAATCCTTTTGCGGGCATTAAATGTGACCACAGAAGAAGTTTGTGATGCACTTCGTGAAGGTGATTTCCTCCATCTTATTTATCCTTTCAAAAATGTGCTTCTGAGCAACATATGCGTAGGTTTTTGAACCAGTGCTCCAGACAGATGTTCCTGGCATACATTGCCATGAGCAAAGCATGCTTAGCAATTTTACAAGCATTTTCACCAGTAATTATAACGTCCGTGCTTCCAACTACTGGTGGATAATTGTTGATAATTGAGCAAGAACTCAGTCACGGCATTTACTTATACCAGTTATTGATCCTTGAAAGTACCACTACTCTCCATGGAATCTGAAAATTTTATATGTGATTTGCTACTTTATCTCTTAGCTGATTCCTTTTGTTTTTCATAGATTGTACCTCATCTTGGAAAAGAATCTTAGTTACCATGTTTTATATATCTACCATGACTATTTTATCCTAATTAATACCTGAAGAATGTTGAACATGAACATTTAGTTGAAGTTAACCATATGTGATAGAATTGTCTGATGGGGTTTTCTCTTGCTCCTCTTTTCAGTTTTGGGTCAATGCGGAAAAAGGAGTTATCATATTGACAGCTTTTATGTGCTTGGAATTAACATATTTATTTGAGCATAACATAGGCTGGAATATTACAATCGAACACAATTAACCACATTATTTCCTTATGCATTGTTAAAAAACAGTCTTGAGGTTTAGAGGAAATTGACATAGCTTCATTCAAGTAACATGAAAAATTATTAAGATAACTGGGTTCCTAAAACTCGTTTAAAGTGTGAGATTAGTAACAGCCAAATAGCTACATTGTTTTCCCTTGAACCAAAAATACTTGTTTAAAACCCTGTAATTTTAGCTCCGGGCTTCTGAAAGGGTAGTGCTTATCTCTTTCTCTCTCTCATTCTGTGTGTATGTATATTTTTTTGTGTATTTATAATGTGGGGTGGGAAGGGGGTTTGTGTGGTTTCCTTTTAGCTATTGTAATATCAAGATGTGGACAATGGCTTACAGGCTTTTCTCCAGAGGCCATGGATGCGCCATTGCCCTCAACTTAAAATGATTTATGGACCAATCTTAGTATTAGTGTATGAAAATCCAGTTTTGATCTGAAAATATTTTCTTAAATATCTTGCAAGGGAATATTTCATTACTGAAAGAGCTTCAAGAAACTTTATTTTATTGATCAATCATGTGTTCAATGGGCCCATGCTGTTACTAGATTGTGCTTCATGTATGCTTTCAATTGTTGAATTTCTGTAGTACTGTGTTTCTTTTTTGGTCTAGAGAAAAGGTAGTCCTAAGTTGTTTAGTTTTCAATCATGATATTCTAACCTGTTCTTTTAAATCAGGAAATGAGCTTCCTGTTGAACTTCTTCAAACTTTATTGAAAATGGCACCAACAGCAGATGAAGAACTCAAACTTAGACTGTTCAGTGGTGAAATTTCCCAACTTGGTCCTGCTGAGCGGTTCCTAAAAGTCTTGGTTGACATCCCTTTTGCTTTTAAACGAATGGAAACACTGCTTTTTATGTGTTCTCTTCATGAGGAGGTTACTGTCACTAGAGAGTCCTTTCAAACATTAGAGGTGGGTCATTAGATTTTAAATTGCATGTCCTGCATGATCAATAATTAGGTCCAATAATTCACGGAAAAACATCTTTTAGATAGTCAACAAAATTTAATTTCAAGGATGTGTATTTTCATGGAAAAACACATACTCTTCTATGATTTATTCAAGCAAATTCAGTTTCTTTCCTCTTTTGGCAGGTTGCTTGCAAGGAACTCAGAAGTAGCCGCCTATTCCTCAAGATCTTAGAAGCTGTTCTTAAAACTGGAAATCGCATGAATGATGGTACATTCCGTGGTGGTGCACAGGCTTTCAAACTTGACACGCTTTTGAAGTTATCAGATGTTAAAGGAGTAGATGGCAAGACCACGCTATTGCACTTTGTTGTCCAAGAAATAATACGCACTGAAGGTTTGAGAGCTGCCCGTGTTGCAAGAGAAAGCAAAAGTTTTATCAGCATAAAATCCGATGATCTTCTTGAGGATGTTTCTCCTGATATGGAAGAGCACTTCCGCAGCCTTGGTCTTCAGGTGGTTTCAAATCTGAGTAGTGAACTTGAAAATGTCAAGAAAGCGGCAGCTTTTGATGCTGAAAACTTAACTGGAACTGTTGCCAAACTTGGCCATGCACTCCTGAAGACACGTGATTTCTTGAACTCAGAGATGAAAAGTACAGCGGAAGAAAGTGGTTTTCACGAAACATTAAAGAGTTTTGTGCAGAATTCTGAGGTTGATGTCATGTCGTTGCTTGAGGAAGAGAAGAGAATAATGGCTTTGGTGAAGAGCACTGGTGATTATTTTCATGGTAATACACAGAAGGATGAGGGCTTACGCTTGTTTGTCATCATACGGGATTTTTTGATAATTTTGGATAAGGTTTGCAAAGAGGTTAGAGATGCCATGAGGACTTCAGTAAAAGCACATAAAAAACAGGTGTCCAATGCATCATCATCCTCTGAGTCTCATTTTGAACCACCTTCTTCTGATCCTCGTCAGAAGCTTTTTCCTGCAATTGCTGAGAGAAGGATGCATGATTCTAGTTCTAGTTCTGATTCAGATGATGAGAGTTGATAGTGTTCATTTGAAGAAGGTATGCTGTTCTTATCCTTGTCAAGCAAATCTTTTACCTTGCCACATTATGTACTGAAATTACTACTTAGACATATACGTGCCATAGATTGTGTTGGCGGTGAGATCTAAGTTCTGTTTTTCGCCAGATGGATGTTATGTTTGCAGTTGATCAAGATGGAAAGCTGCCAAAGCATTAGTGCCACAATCGATCAATGAAAGGAATACATCTAAAGTACCAGCAGAAAGGGGCTCTGCGAATGGCATTAGCTCTTCAATGCTAGATTTTTATGGAGCTAACATCGCAAAGTGCCATTGACCTTCCTTTGGTATTTGATTCATGGTTCTTGTTGATTTCCCCTCATCTGCCCATCTTGTGCATTAGATATAAAGGTGCCTTCATTTTTTCAAATTTATAATTCTTTGTTAATAAAATCTCTGTTGATAATTTTGCTTTCAAAGAATATTTATCAGGATAGTGTTGAAATTAGAAATTTGCTTTACTGGCTATAAATTTTAGAGGGAAGAAATTTTGATGTTTGTGATTTTCTATCAGAGTTTGGCTAATGCTACCATTTTCTTTCCTTCCTGACACGATATGAACCGCTCTCCCTAGTTCCAATTACTTAGGCTCCCTTTCGGAGCATGGAGGGAGTCTCTCACCGAAGCTTGCATTTTTTTTACAAAAGAGATCATAATTAAAGATAAGGGAAGACTTATAAATGCTTTTGAATATGGACTTGTTAAATGTTATGATTTAAAGATAATTATATGAATCAATTGAATCGGAGTTATATTTTTTAGTAAGGAAAGTCTTTGTAGTACGTGGCTATATTCCTATATCAATAGTGGCTTCAGCATTTACACAGCTACAAATTCAAACATCTATGAAGGAAGATACCAATTCTTCTTCCAGGATAAAAGGGTCGGACAGATGCATTACTATCAAAATATTTATGAGAAAAAGCCTGAACATAAAGGAGGGAAGACGTGGAATGGAGCTAGTCAGCTGAAATCCAATGAAATTGAAAACCAATAATCCCTTCGCACACCTTTGCATCATTTCATAGTGTTTGTCAACCTGTCCTTTCATGCATATCAAGTCACTGGCAACTGGAAACTGGGATAATATCAACGATAAACTGTAGTCTCGTGAAAATTGATTAACAGTGAAGCTGGAAGCTCTACAGTGTCAGCCTCTAAGGACTCTTTTCTTGGATTGCAAGTCTACGGTTCCTGCTTATTGATCATCACAGTTGCAGAGAAATTTGAGTGATTACACAATCATGTTTTTGAGCTTTTCATCCAAGAAAAGAATAAGGGCTATGTTCCACCATATCAAATTATTGTCAGAATAACAGAAACAGAAGAGATAGAGTAGACTAGGTTTTTCAATGGTGGTCTCCTGTCTGTATTATTCTGAACAAACTTGGTAGCTGTTGTATTATCGAAATGTTATTGTCATTTATCTGAAACTTTAATGAAAAATATACAATCTTGTTGAAATTGACTGAAGGGTATGACATAAAAAATAGATGGTTTTTCAAATCCTGCCAGAAACCTACTTCTGAGAAAAAAAAGATGATCATTTTGACACATCTTCGATAATAACTCTTCCCTCGGTCACCAGAAAAGCATCAATTCATTAGCGGGAGACTCATTCAAGAGGTTTGTCTCCTAGGGTAGTCCAACAGTGCATAAGGTAACTGAATCAGATAGCTTATCATATAATCTAAGAACTTTCCCAAGAGCACAGTTGATTGGTTTCAGACAGAACAGGCTTATATATGCCCAACTACCAGGTAAGTTCTTTCAAGCACCCTTTTACACCCTTTTAAACATTCTGATGAAACTATGAAATTCACAGACTACATATATATATATATATATATATATGAACCTAAGGAGTGGAGTCATTATTCTATAACTAACAGCTTTCTTTTCCTTTGGAAAAAAGGGTACCTCGCCAACAATAACTTAATCTGTTGATAAAGTGTTGGATTTTTAGTTTCAGTGATCAGTTCAAATTCTGATAATCTTGTTTGATCAAAACATTTTTCATATCTGCTTTCTGAAAATGGGAAGCAGAAGATGAAGTTAGGCATGAGGAATCCATTGAAAGAGTTAGGAATAAGACCAAGACTCCATTGGCTCAAGCAGAAGTAAATTAAAAAGTGGCTGTTTACTTTTTCAAGACTGAACTGTGATAGTTTGATGTTAAAGCAGGAATAGGGGAAACTAGTGTATAAATCCATGTCGATAAAGGGAAATTTGTGGAAATTAGTGGACAACCAAAGTAACAAAGAGAATCCAAGACAAAGGAGGCTTGAGCTGCAAGAAATGCAGATTGGACAAGAATAGAGGCATACCTGAGAAACGGTGTCGTTCTAGAGATTAGAATTCCCATAAATCCTTTGCATACCGATACTCCTGAAGATGCAAGAGGCAAATTCAGAATGAATGTGAAATAAATAACACAAACTGATAAGAACATGATCATATCTTGAAATGATGAAGATTTTTATGCGATCTGAAAGCATGTCATAGATCATGTAGAATATGAGTAAAATCATAATCATTTGGGTATCAGATACATCAGTGGTGGATTTAAATTTTTTTTTTATGAGTAATATTTGGGGTAATTTAAAGAAAATTTTTCTTCCAATTTTCTTATTTTCCCATAAACACCATATCCAACAACATGAATCTGCCTCTGATCAGATAGCAGATATAGGCCTGATTAATTATGGGAAATGAATTGCAGAGATGAAGGATCAAGACAACAAATAAACAATTAAGAATTGGTATGGTTTAATTCTTCGAGACATGGAGTTCAACTTGAGCAGATACAGCCTACAAGAGCTGCAGATAAGCTGTCTGCAAGACTGAACCATTGAGGGCTACTACTTCACCAGCATCACCACCTACCTAAAAGTAGATCTAGAAATCTCAAATAGGACATGGTAACAAGATAGGAAAACTGTTCAAATAAAAGATATGAAGATGATATCATTTAAAATTTTAATAAAAATCATAAATAAATTCAACAAAATCAAAAAAATGTATTTCATGTTTTTGTGTCTGTAATATGTAATTTTCATATAAAACATCATATAAATATACAAATTATTAATATTTTATATGATATAAATACACAAATTATCAAGTTTACCTTAAAGTTAAATCATGTGCCTGAAAACTTAAAAAGAATGCTATTTTTAATAATTCAAACAAATTCTAATGATTAGGTCAGGGATCAGAATCATCAAGAATGAAATATGCATCAATGTTATTAGGAGCTTGCTACAACAGGATGTGAACTAGGCCAGGCCTCAGCGTGCATTAATTCATAACCAATTGAAACCATGTCTTCCTTCATGTTTATTGCAATTTTTAAGGAAACACGATCATATAAATAGCTGATTGAAACAAAAAAATAGTGCAAACTAGCAATTGGTTAAATGATCATTACCTCAAGTCAAAGTTCTTTGCATGCCTTATCTTCAAGTGTCCGGAGTTGGTTGAGTTAGTAAAAATCAAATACTTCGCTTGTAAGATTTAAGTGCGATTAAATTTCTTTTGATGAACAATTTATAAATCCAACATAAGTTATCTCTTAAACTTGCAATATGCCCTTGACCCTGAAATGGGTATCCTCCCTCACCTAAACTTTTGTTAACAAAAAAAAAAAAAGTCCTGGAGTCAGAATCTTCAGGCTAATAACAATAAGGAAGATTTCTGTCATAAATGGGAGAACAGAGAAATAATGGTAGATTGTTGGAAGAATTGATTGTACCTTCTTTACTAATTACAAAAAGAAAAAAAAAAAAAGCAATAAATTGATGCACCAATAGAAGCATTCAATCTGAACTACTGGAATTCCTACTGCTTCAGTCTGCAATCAAAGTTATGGCTATAACTAGCTGTCCAGTAATTTCATCATAACATTAACACTTTGTTCATGTTTCAGTCTATTTGTATGGGTAGTCCTTTAAGTTTTCCGCATAATTTCAGTACCAAAAGTAGAAATGTCTGCAATAATAATAAAAATTGATGGTTCCATCATAATCTGAGAAGAAATGAATCCAGTTGGCCCATTAAACTTTGAACAAGTTGGCACTTGGAAGTCCATTATTAGGATAGGGAATCTTACAAATCATGCATTAATCTTAAAATGTTTTGGTTCAACTAGAATCCAATAAGCCTAATGATTAGGCTCAATAAGCCAAAAATATTGTACTTTGGAGAGTTAGAATTATGAGCATTTCTCTATTTTAAGAGAATAAGAAACAAATATCTCCTTTTTTCTCCTTTTAGTCTATAACCAAAAAAAAATTGGATAAACCAAGGGTAATATCAGTTCAGATTGGATCGAATTCAATTTAATTTTTTTTAAATAATACATAAAATTATAAATTTTTAAAATTCAATATAAATCAAATTGAACTGAATTTTAATTTGATTAAGCAATTTTTTAAATTTTAAATTTTTTTACTTTTTATATATTATTTTCATATAATTTTTAATATATTTAAATATATTTAGAAATAAAATAATTATTTTAATCTTATAAAAATTTAAAATATATAAAACTAACAAAAATATATAATTTAGTTCAGTTTAGTTTTTTTTTCAATTTTTCACTTTTTAATTCGAAATCTGATATAAATCTAATATATACATTTAATACTAAACTTAATCCGAATCAAATAAAAAAAACTGATATAAATCGAATCAAACATTATAAGCTTCAAATTGATTTTCAATTTTCTCTATTTTTTTCTCACTCTTAAGATAAACTACAGAAATTTATTTATTTTCAAATTGAAGAAGAGAATTTGAATATATCCTTGGAGTGCAAAGATCATGCATCATCAATTGAATCAAATGTTCAAGTGAATATATTTACATTATTTGCAAGTCACAAGTATTACATTTACTCAAAATAAAAAATCAAATACAAATATAATGATGATGTTAACAACTCTTCCAAAAGGAAGAAGAGAGATCTATAATTATTATTTTGCTTTCAAACTTTGTTTTGCCTACCAATATCTCATTATAACACAAATTTCACGTTAAGTTTGACAATTTATATATTCATATCGTGTCTGTTTCGTATTTAATAATTGTAAAATATAAAAATTATTATATCATAATTTGTATTTATACGTCAAACACGAAATATATATTTTCATTTGTCAAACTCATATAAAATTTTTGTTAAAATTTTAAATCATGTCGTTCTCGTATAATTTTTTATATTTTGTATTGTATTTAAGACTAACAAACTTAAGAACGTATCCTAAAATACCGGGTTTTTGTATGAGCTCTGAATAGGGAACATCTGTAACACTAGAATGCAGCAGAAGGTGACATTTTCTGATACATTTTAGCTGACATAACACCATCCAAAGTTAATCTGATGGTGAGATTCAGCAACAAGGTTTCTTGAAAAACATTCTTTCATTTTTTTTTTCCTGCAGGCTTCCCATCTTTGATCCAAAATTTTTAGTCCAAAAAACTTGGATTAACCTGCTAAACAGATCTATATATATCAGTCAACTAAAAAATCCAAACCGGCCACTTTATTAATTAAACCAATTAGATTAATCCGTAGCTCTAATCATCTGCCCTGTGCTTAAAAAGGGCATCCGAGATGCAATGTTCAAATTAAAACATACAAGATTAGGATCTAATCTCGTGGATTAATCAACCGATAAAGCTGCAGCTTCACTGCTTAATTGGTTTCATTTGACTGATTAATTAAGTAGTTAATTAATCTTATGGTACACATGTTTGTGGGATATAAAATTATTGATTAAGCCAAAGTAGCTGTGAAAAATTTATATTAACTGACAAGAAGCATAGTAGATGAATAGAAAATGCTTTGTTGCAATTCAGCTCAGATCTCATCAATGGTTATTGTAATAAAGAATAAACTTTGATAATTCATTAAATTCAATTATTTGAGGATTTGTAATAAATAAAAATGGGTGTTATCTGGTGAAATTTAATTGGTGATCATCAACTTCATATCCCAACCTTCATTTCTAGTGTACCAAACTATTTTCCATTGGTATAGTTCTTCACACCTAATAGCTTAATTCTTTTTTTTTTTTTTTACAAATGGGGTTAAAATCTTAAGATGTTGATTTTTAAAGATAATTGTATGAACCGATTGATTAAGCTTCGAACTCATCTGATAGCTTAATTTATTATTAATGTTTTTCACCATGCATTTAATCAAGAATTGCTGGAGAAAAGATTTTGCAAGCATAGGGAAGACAGCACCTTTCATCATCTTTAAGTTGAAGCAGAAAAATTAGAGAATTTTTTGCTTGGCAAGGAGGCAATTCCATAAGTCAAATTCCACCTAAAATTCATATTTATCGATTGTTATTCACATGCAAGGCTAGGCTAGGGTTGTTGGTCGTTATTGAATTCATACGCATTATCAGCTTATTAATAACATGCTCCATTGTTCCATGTCGGAATTATATCAACATCAATGGAATTTTGAAGAATAAGAGATTGTGAGAGAGAGTAAAGGGAAAGGAAGAATATGAATTCGAACCTTGAATCTCAATCAGAAATAGAATAATAACCTATGTTGATGAAGATCGATTAAATTGATAATTATCGATGATTTCACTTGTAAAGTTTAAGGCCGATTTTCATTAATAGAAAACCTTTTTAGTGGATGAATCTTTATTAAAAAAAAAATTACGCTGGTGCATATTAAAGTATCATTTAGAGCAAAAATAATCTTAGAATGAACAGTAATTATGATTTTTAATAGAT